TAAATGGATGTGAGAAGAGACTCTGAAACTTTCTCTTGAATGTCGAGTAGCTAAAGCAAAAGAAAGAAATGATGAAGTAAAAGAGCTGAACAGAAGATTTCAAAGGGTGACTGGAGAAGACTAAGTAAAGTATTATAATGAAATGTGGGAAGACCTGGAGATAGAAAACCAAAAAGGAAGAACATGCTCAGCATTTCTCAAGCTGAAAGAACTGAAGAAAAAATTTCAAGCCTCGAGTTGCATTGCTAAAGGATTCTACGGGCAAAATATTAAACAACACAGGAAGTATCAAAAGAAGATAGAAGGAATACACAGTCACTGTATCAAAAAGAATTGGTCAGTGTTCAACCATTTCAGGGTAACGTGATCAGGAACCGATGGTACTGAAGGAAGAAGTCCAAGCTGCACTGAAGGTATTGGCAAAAAACAAGGCTCTGGGAATGGACAGAATACCAATTGGTATGTTTCAACAAATGGATCCAGCTCTGGAAGTGCTCACTCGTCTATGCCAAGAAATTTGGAAGACAGCTAGCTAGCCAACCAACTGGAAGAGATCCATATTTATGCTTGTTCCCAAGAAAGGTGATCCAATCGAATGCAGAAATTATCAAATAATATCATTAATGTCACAGACAAGTAAAATTTTCCTGAAGATCATTCAAAAGCAGCTGCAGCAGTACATCGACAAGGAACTTCCAGAAATTCAAGCCAGATTCAGAAGAGGACGTAGAACCAGGGATATCCTTGCTGATGTCAGATGGATCCTGGTTGAAAGCAGAGAATAGTAGAAAGTTGTTTACCTATGTTTTATTGACTATGCTAAGGCATTCGGCTGTGTGGATCATAACAAATTATGGATGACATTGCAGAGAAGGGGAATTCCAGAACACTTAATTGTGCTCATGAGAAATCTGTACATGGATCAAGAGGCAGTTATTCAAACAGAGCAAGGAGATACTGCATGGTTTAAAGTCAGGAAATGTGTGCGTCCGGATTGTATCCTTTCACCATACCTATTCAGTCTGTATGCTGAGCAGATAATCTGAGAATCTGGACTATATGAAGAAGAACGGGGCATCAGGATTGGAGGAAGACTCATTAACAACCTGTGTTATGCGTATGACACAACCTTGCTGAAAGCGAAGAGCACTTGAAGAGCTTACAAAGACCACAGCCTTTGGGATGGTTTCAACCTCGACATAAAGAAAACAGAAATCCTCACAACTGGACCAGTAAGCAACATAATGATAAATGGAGAAAAGATTGAAGTTGTCAAGGATTTCATTTTCCTTGGATCCACAGTCAACACCCATGGAAGCAGCAGTCAAGAAATCAAAAGATGCATTGCACTGAGCAAATCGGCTGCAAGAGAGCTCTTTAAAGTGTTAAAAAGCAAAGATGTCACCTTGAGAACTAAGGTGCGCCCAACCCAAGCCATGGTGTTTTCAGTTGTCTCATATGCATGCGAAAGCTGGACAATGAATAAGGAAGAGTGAAGAAGAACTGACGCCTTTGAATAGTGTTGTCAGCGAAGAATACCGAATATACCATGGACTGCCAAAAGAACGAACAGATCTGTCTTGGAAGAAGTGCGAGCAGAATGCTCCTTGGAAGCAAGGATGGCGAGACTACGTCTCACATACTTTGGACATGTTACCAGGAGGGATCAGTCCCTGGAGAAGGACATCATGCTTGGTAAAGTAGAGGGTCAGCAAAATGAGAGTGGCTGCAACAGTGGGCTCTAGCATAGCAACCATTTTGAGGATGGCACAGTGTTCTGTTCTGTTCTTTTGTACATGGGTTCGCTGTGAGTTGGAAACGACTCGACAGTACCTAACAACAACAAAATACGCATTGGCTGCTAACTGAGTTGGCTGTAAAGTTGACAAGCTTATATGAAAACTTATGAGTATAAAAGGTCACCACTGCGTGGAGGTGGGCCATGTGAATTTATTAGAACTTAAAACTTTAGCCAGTGTTTACTAAGTGTGTATACCAGGCACCATAGTAAGTATTTTCATAATATCTTTCCATTGCCCTCAGGGAAAACACAGAGCTCAATTCCTTACCCTATCCTACAAGGCATTCGTGATCTAGCCACTACTTCCTCCTCTGAGTGCCCACACTTTTCACACTGAGCACCAGCCACACTGGCCTTTCTGTTCCTCTGAAGTGCCAACTTTATTCCAGCCAGAAAATCTTTGTCTTGCTCTTTCCTTGCCTAGAACTTTCCAGCACTCAATATTCAAATGGCTGCCTATTTTGTTCTTCACTGTCCTCCTTCACTGAGGCCTTTCCTCACCACTGAATCTCAGTTAACTGCCCCTGCCTTAGTTACTCTTCCATCACATGGCCCTGTTTGGTTTTCTTCATCACTTTTGTCTCTGAAATTCTTGCCTGTTTGTTTGATTATATAATTATTGCCCTCTCCCCCCAGTAGACTTTGGGGAAATGGGTCATAGCAAATTCTGATTTTTTGAAGATACATTTGGTATATAGAAATAGGTGAAAATTATTCAGAACCAAATCTAGTAAATAAGATCGGTGATTGTCTTAGTTATCTGTTGCTGCTATAACAGAAATACCAGAAGTGGATGGCTTTCACAAAGAGAAGTTTATTCTTTCACAGTAAAGTAGGCTAAAAGTCCAAATTCAGGGCATCAGTTCCAGGGGGAAGCATTCTCTATCAGCCTTCTCATCAGTGTCCCCACGGACTAGGAGCTTCTCCACACAGGGACCCCAGGTCCAAATGATGCACTCTGCTCCCAGCACTGCTTTCTTGGTGGTATGAGGTCCCCATCTCTCTGCTAGCTTCCCTTTCCTTTTATCTCTTGTAAGATAAAAGGTGGTGCAGGCCATACCCCAGGGAAACTCCGTTTACATTGAATCAGGGATGTGAGCTTCGTAAAGGTGTTACAATCCCACCCTAATCCTCTGTAATGTAAAATTGCAATCACGAAATGGAGGACAACCACACAATACTGGGAATCATGGCCCAGCCAAATTGATACACACGTTTTTGGGGGGATATAATTCAAGCCATGACAGTGATCAAGCTAGGGAAAACTGTTGGGGGAGCAGGAACAATAAGTCTGAAGCAACCACAATCAATAAGTTTTTCTTTTAAAATTGGATCTAAAAGAAGAGTACTAAAAAAGGTTCAGGGTTTTGGCAGTGTTATTAGAGCATGTGTGGAGCCTCCCAAGGGGATTTCTTAAAAGACAGTGTTCATTTGGACATATAGTATCTCCAGTGTGTGGGTTAAGGAACTATTTTTGATGCTTTCATAGTCATACCTGACACAAGTGAAAATCAGTTTCCCATCCATGCAAACATTTAATACTGGTGTCATGGATTGAATTGTGTCCCCCAAAAATATCTGTCACCTTGCCTGGGTCATGATTCCCAGTATTGTATGATTGTGTAATCTGATGTGATTTCCATATGTATTGGAAGCTTTGTCACTGTGATGAGGTTATATGTGATTTCCTTATGTGTTGGAAGCTCTATCACTATGATGAGGTTTACAACATTAGATAGTGTCTTAATCCAATCTCTTTTGAGATATAAAAGAGAGAAGCGAGCAGAGACACATGGGAACCTCACACCACCAAGAAAGCAGTGCCAGGAGCAGAGTGTGTCCTTTGCACCTGAGGTTCCTGCGCTGAGGTGCTCCCAGACCAAGGGAAGACTGATGCATCACAAGGACCTTCCTCCAGAGCTGACAGACAGAGAAAGCCTTCTCCTGGAGCTGATGCCCTGAATTTGGACTTGTAGCCCACTGGACTGTGAGAGAATAAACTTCTCTTTGCTAAAGCCATCCACTTGTGGTGTTTCTTCTGTTAGAGCAGCACTAGCTGACAAAGACAGCTAGCATACCTGAACATGATACGATCTCATTTTATTCCATAAAACTAAGAGATGTATGTGGATGGTTTTGTCTTACCAAGCTTTGGGTAACATATTTCAGCTTTGTTACTGTTCGTAGATTACCATAAAGAAATTAAACTGCCAGAATTAAGAAATGATATGTATAGTGAATTGATAAGGATGTCAAATCCTATAGATTTTTAGTTCTAGTAGTTTCCATCTCTGCAATTATAACTCACTGCATGTTTAGTGATGATACAAGCTTTTCCATTTCAAAGACCTTCGTTTGATTTTTTTTTTCTTTTCATTATTTCTTATTCTCTTTTGCCTTCTCACTAGAACTTTTGGAACTTATTTCTGGGAGAGTTGGGGTAGTGGTATTAGTTTTTTTATTGTTATTTGTGGCTTAAGTGAGGGAACATACATTGTAGGAAACACAGGAAGTTAGCATTCATTAAAGATGATGTGGTATCTTTGTAGTTTCCTTCAAAAAGGAAATAGTAATAATAACTGATGATAAAAAGTGAGATAATTATCATTATATTAAAGAGGAAAATGAAATAGGGTTATAAATGTGGAAATATTATCTCCTATAACTTTTGAAATAGTTAATATCTAAAAATTGTCTCTCGAATACAAAATTCTCAATCCTTCCAGAACTCTTAGCAGTAGCAGTCAAAATCACTGATTTTTTAAAGCATCTCTATTTTCTGGGAACTCTAAATTAGTGTAGAAATTTATAATTTTAGAGATGAAAGGCAAATTAAGAAATTATCTGATCTAATCTCTCATTTTTACAGAGAATAAGTTTTTATAGAAGAGAAGTGACACACTTAGTTTAAGGCAGGCATGGATTACATGATGGTCTTCTGATTCCCATTCAGTGTTCTTTCCATTATTATTATTCATTATTACTTGCTTATATGGGTAGGTAGTAGATTTGTGCCTCAGGGAAGTGGAGGGCTCCATTCTGAGACAAGTGTTTAGTTTTTCATGATAAAATAAAATGATCATTTACCAAAGCTAGGTTTTCATTTGTCAAATCTCATATACCAAAATTTTAGCTAAGGTCTTTCAGGGGGTATGTATGAGTGCTATGTCATGTATTATTGTTTTCTTCTACCTTTAAGACTGAACATTCTTCACGACCTGAAAGGAAAAGAAGAGACTCGTTCGGGATGTTTGACGGTTATGATAGCTGCAGTGAGGATACAAGTAGCAGCTCCAGCTCTGAGGAGAGTGAAGAAGAAGTTGCTCCTTTACCTTCAAATCTCCCAATTATCAAAAACAATGGGCAGGTCTACACATACCCAGATGGTAAATCTGGCATGGGTGAGTATTTACAGTCTTCACCTTTTATATAACTTCACATGTAAGGGTTGGATTTTGTTTTGATTCAGTTTCTTTTGTCATTTCCCTTCCTTAAACATTTAAAGAGCAGTTTGCAGAGATAAAGCCTGAAATTTAGAGTTCCAGGTAAGATCACTGGGTTTAAGTTTGATCTCTTTGTTTTGCCTAGCTACCTTCTGATGGAAGGAAAATAGAAAAAAATATAAACAATAGGTCATTGAGAAACTTGACCTGGACATAAATACACTAATTAGATATTAAATCCCTAAGTAACGTCTAGAGTCATTTTCTTACAGAGTTGAAAGATTTTTAAGATAGGGCTCTCCTTTGTTAACAATTTTTTATTAGAAGTTTTCTGTTTTAACACTTCCAGTGATAGGACACTCTTTAACTCAGAAAATAGTTTCCTTTTTTAGCATCTCTAATTATTAGAATATTCTTTATATTGAACCAAAATTATCCTTGCTCTAAGTTTTGTCCTTTGATCTTAATTTTGCTTTTTAAAGATACACAGAATAAGTTCCTTGTTACAATAACATCTCTTCCCACTAGAACATTCTTAGTGGCCCTGGTTGCTTCAGCGGTTTCTTGTAGTATCACAGAGATTTAATTCATCAGTATCTGGGCATACTTCAAATTATTAACCTTCCTTTTAACATGGTCCCCAGAACTAAAAGCAGAACTGTATTTTCACTCAAATAACACACGCATTATATGTTATTGCCAACCACGCAACACCCCCTCACCTCCTCATCCTCGCACTATTTTCCTAAGCTTGCTGTGCTGTGCATTATATACGTGGATGCGTTATTTGAGAAGAATATGGTAATTTAGATGTGGTGGTAGGATGACTCACTCTGGTTTTCCCAGGGGACTGTCCTGGTTTTTACATTGAAAGTCCTGCATCCCGGAAAACCCCTCAGTGCGGAGCAAACCAGAGTGGTTGGTCACCCTGTTTGATAAAATGTAGTTTAGAATTTATCTCCCTTTTTCAGAACACTGTTTTCATTTGTGCCACCCAAATTGCTTTAATTTTTTTGAAACTAATACTGAATTTACAGATAGCTGAAACCTTTTGATGTAAAGCAGTTTTCTGGTTTATACTTTCGCAGTTAATTTTTTTTTTAGACACAAAGTATAGGACTTTGAATCTCTCCATGTAACCTTTTTCTTAATAAATGTCAGTCTTCTTAGAAGTTTTTGATTGCTACTTCTGTCATCTGATGTTGAATGCTGTGTCATCTAATCTTTCAGTTTTACATCATCTGCAGATTTGATAGCCAATGCACAGAGCTATGCACACTGTATCTACAGACTTCACTCCGTTTATCAGGACCCATTAGATTAGTAGGTTAAATAGATTTTAATAAGTTAAAATCTAAGTGTTTTCTACTCTAGTTTATATTTCTCAATCCTTATTGACAAAGATGAGAAATGTTATCAAAAGTATTAACTCCTACTACTATATCCTTGTGCCATGGTTTAGTTACAACATTTCAGTCTGGTAGTTTTATCACAAAAGAAAATAAGGCTTATTGAAGCTTTATATGTGCCAGCCTCTATTCTAAATATTAGAGATTTAGGAATGAACAACATAGAATAAGGTCCCTGCCCTGATGGAGCTTACATCCTAGTCATGAGAATTCTACTGTGGCGTGTGTAATTCTTGGCAAGGATTCACTGTCCTCTTGGGATCACAACTTTTTATGTAGGTGGTCACATACCTTTTTAATAATCTGTTCTGGAATTTTTAGAGCAGAAAAACATTCACTTTTTTCCTCTCATTAGACAACCTTTGTCTCTCACTTTTTGACACCTTATCTTTTTTCTGTGATTCCTCGTAGATTATAAGTACTGATTACACTACAGGTCCCTCCAATTTAATTGTTTGGAGGGAGACTTAAACACACTCAGGCAGTTGTTTACTGTGTTACTCTCTATCCTTTTTGAACTTCAGTTCTTCTGAATCTTGTTCTTCTAATTCTGCCCTTTAGATTATTCTCCGTTGTGCTTGTTTACAAAATAGGCACAATACCAGTCAGAGTTCCACTGTTTCCGTCTATTACTGGTTAATAATTACAGGACCTACTTCAAGCTTTGAAACTATCTCTTCCTTGTTGGCCCTTAAACATAACTTAAAAAAATCTTATTATTGCCTTTAGCATTTTTCCACGTGTTCCTCTTTTAGGTTTCAGCCTTTGCAGTATTTTTAGACTTGTGCAGCCCTTTGTATTAATCTTTGGTTATATTGCACTTCTTCTTGTTTTTTATTTATAATCCCTTCAAAAGCTGGAACTCATCATACTTTCACAAGTATATGAGGATGTCAGGCATATGATAGGTGCTAAGGAAATGTTAGCAGACTCTGACTCATATCTGTTTGTGTGTCTTTTGAGTCTTTAGCCTTTCAGACCTTGAGCTGGAGCTTAAGGAGCCCTTAGCCATGACATCATATGGCTCTTTTCTCCCAACTTTTGTATAAGCTTTTCCATTGTATGCATAGCAGATAGAAGAAATTTTCAAGTCAGATTTTTAAATTAAAATATTTACATAGAAAATCTTCATCTAAAACACAATAAAATTTAAAAATATATATATTTAATAACGAACACTACCACCAATCAAAAGGAAGCCAGCTGTATTTTGCATACATACAAAATAAAAGATTGATTACAATAAAAAAATAAAACAAGCTATAGAAAAGCAATAAGGCAGTCCCATCAAGTTCCAGCTCTCACGTTTCACTGTATATGAGACCAAATGATCAACAATTACTTTACAAAGATGAGAATGTAAGGGGGCAGGGAAACTAGATTAATGGAAACGAAACAACCAGAACAAAAATATTGAGATATTCACGCATTGTGAAGAATGTAACCAGTGTCACTGAACGAAACTGAACAGCTTGTGTAGAAGGTGTTGAATGGGAACCTAACCTGCTGTGTAAACCTTCACTGAAAACATTATAAGATATAATATGTATATATATACACTTATGTAAATATTTAAAGAAATTTTTAAAGTGATAGGTTAAAAAATGATCATAAAAATTGATTGTATGATCATAACACCAGTGTTTTTATTTTATGAATTAGCTACCTGTGAGATGTGTGGGATGGTTGGCGTGCGAGATGCTTTTTACTCTAAAACAAAGCGTTTCTGCAGCGTTTCATGCTCAAGAAGTTATTCATCAAACTCCAAGAAGGCAAGCATTTTGGCCAGACTTCAGGTAACGGTACAGAAACTTTCTTGTTCTTTATATATGTTATTTCTCTGGCTTTCTACCTGTCGTTTGATTGTGATTCACTGCACTCCACCCCTGCCCAGTTGGCCCCTTACCATTTTACACCTGCATTTTTAGGAAATATGTAAACCCCAAAGTTCGTTCAGTGTAGAAAATTCAAAAACTATTATAAATAGGCAAGGTATACTGTCCAAAATGATTTTTTTAACTGTTTGTGTCAGTGAAATAAAAATGCTCACCTGTTTTCCAAATAAGTATAAAAACAGTAGATTCCTTTTTATGTACAAAAATTGAAGCCATTTTCTTTTCTTCCGTTTGTTTTCTTTTGAGTTAACATCAAGGTAAAATCTTTGAACATTTGGGGAGAAACGATTTACCCTTTGATTGCAGCTCATTTGCTACCTTGGCTAAATGTAAATTGATTAATCCAACCAATTTTTTTTTTAAACTTTCATGGAAAAAATATCTTTCTTCAAATGTACATCATTACGTACAAAATGATTGAATACTTGACTATTTGACTAAGTTGCTACTGTTGTAGCATATAAACAACTTTTTAAAGGTGTAACATTAATTGATTTCTGTAACTATTTTATTTGGGTGATCACATTTTTCTTACTCTTTTTTAACTTCTTATTGTGATCATTACGTAGCACTGAGAGGGCTATTTAACTCCCTCAACTTAAGGAAATACATCACTTAGATGTATTTCTATATTTCAGATAGACAGTACCTAAAGATCCTGAGCAGTGGTCTGTACCCAAATGGATGGCAGTTTGTCACACTGTGAATTTGGCCCATGATCATTTTGTCATTGATCTTTTGCGTTAGCGCTAAAGGTATAAACCTCAGTCACTTGCTCTTTGAACATTAAATTATTTTCTCTTACCATGTAAATAGCAATGCTTGGCAACCTGCATGAGTGAATAACCACTGGTTTTATCTACTATAAAAAAGAAGTATCCACCACAGCCTATATTTTAACATCTTATGGGATGTAATTTTTTATTAACATATTAATTTGCATATTGCTGTTTTAGTCTAAGCCAGCTCTGCTACTTATGTTAGATATCTACATTGTAGCAGAACTTAGAAAAAAATCTTCCTGTTGAAATTCCTTGTATGTTTCCTCTGCTTTAATAATGTTCTAAACCCTCGGTGTTTACTTAAGCAGAATGAGTAGTATGCAGTCAAGTTAATTTTGGTGGTCGGGGGAATGGAAAAGAATCCTATTTACTTAACTCTTCTTGTTTTAGGGTAAGCCTCCAACAAAGAAAGCAAAAGTTCTTCAGAAACAACCTTTAGTTGCTAAACTAGCAGCATATGCGCAGTATCAAGCTACCTTGCAAAATCAAGCAAAGACTAAAGCAGGTAATATGGGTGATGGTAATAAATGTGAGAGATTTGATATTGATGTAGTATCTAGTTTTAATTAATGACATTTTAATTTCCGATTCTGTTTAACTAAGTTACTATAAATGCTCTATTAGTACATTATGACACTAGGCTTCCTGGTGGTGGTTTGGTTTCAATAAATTATTCTGGAACAAAATAGTTGAATTCACAAGTTCCAATCCTTAAGTGGCAGTCCCCTTAATATAAATGTTTTTTATTTGGTTTATTTATTTTATGTACTGAATGTGCTGTGGTAGGGAACATTGTGCACATAATGGACAAAGATATAGGATATTCAGCAGGCTTCAAAGGAATTGGGAGAGTAGAATAATAAGAGGAAGAGATTGAAGAAAGGACCATTTCCAATAGAAGATTCTTAAGAGAAGTACGAAGGCAAGGAAGTAAAAGAGAATGAGGTGATATTAAAAACTCTAGTGGATGCAGTAGGTGGTAGATAGCGGGTAGATACCTCACAGAGGTGCCCAGTAAATGCTGGGTGGGAATTAAAGCAAAAGCAGCCATAGTAGTTTTTATTCTTGTGGACGCACCTGCTTTCAGCTGTCCTTTGCTTCCCATACCTGGAGAGCTTGTACTTCCCAAGAAGCATGTGTTGTGTATAGAAGACTTAAGCTGCAATTTGTTTGCAAACATGACATATGCTAAAGCTCATGTTTCTTTAGAGAAGTTCTTCAGTCTTTAAAAACAGAAAGTAAACTTTCTTTAAAAGGAACAAATTAATTTTGTATCCTTTCATGTTTTTAAATAATAAAATCAGTTGCCATCAAGTTGATTCCAGCTCATGGTGACCCCATGTGTGTCAGAGTAGAACTGTGCTTCATAGAGTTTTCAATGGCTAATTTTTTGAAAGTAGATCACCAGGCCTTTTTTCCAAGGCACCTCTGGGTTGATTTGAACTGCCAATCTTTTAGGTAGCAACCAAGCACCTTAATATTTGCTCCACCCAGAGACTCTTAAATAATAACCTTCTTATAAGTGAAAGATTTGAGAGTTGTAATATACCTAAATTCATTTTGTTTCAGCAGCAGTCTCCATGGAAGGTTTCAGCTGGGGTAACTACATCAATAGCAATAGCTTTATAGCAGCTCCAGTTACCTGTTTTAAACATGTGAGTATAGAATTTCTCACCTTCTTATTTTGAAATGTTTATTCATTACTTAAATCTGAAGGTACAGTAAAACCTAAGCATCTTACTCTGAGAAGGTCTTTGTTTTATGTATTGTAATGGAAATATATCTTCTTTATTAATTATTATAATAAATTAATAATTATTAATCGCTAAAAATTTCTGTAAGCTTTGCAACTAAAAACTTCCCATGAAGAAATTGCTATTTGAAATTATTTTAAACCAGGAAAAAGTACTTGTCTCAACCACTTTTCATAATATGGTGACGAATGAAAATCCTAGTTTTATATGTGAAGACAGCTGCATATTGACAATTTCATATGGTTCAACCTAATATTAGAAACCATTCTTCGTGTATATTACCTAAATCTTTGTGAGTCCACCTGATGATTCAAAAAAGGAAGCACCTGGTCTGATAGAGACTGGAGAAACCACAGGAATACAGCCCCAGACACCCTTGTAACTCAGTACTGAAGACATTCTTAAAGTTCACCCTTCAGCCAAAGATTAGACAGGCCCATAAAACAAACAGTAACACAAGTAGTTCAACTATATATACGAGACTAAATGAGCACACCAGCCTAAAAGCAAAGACGAGAAGGCAGGAAGGGACAGGAAAGCTGGATGAATGGAAATGGGGAACCCAAGGTTGAGAAGAGGATAATGTTGGCACATCATGGGGTTGGCAGCCAGTGTCACAAAACAGTTTGTGTGTTAATTGTTTAATGAGAAACTAATCTGCTCTGTAAACTTTGACCTAAAGCACAATTAAAAAAAAAAAAAAGAAGAAGCACTTTTCTTTTCATTTGTTTTTCTCTCCAAATGTAAAATCACAAAAACAAAGGAAAAATATTAATAATGTAGTATCATGGGCTCAAATATGTGATATGTATTCACGGGAAGCACTTTGAAAGATATTCTTTTAGCAAGTAGATTATTACAGAGTATCCAAAGTAATTCAGAATTGTCTTGAAATGTGCCTGATGACAAGTTCTAATTCATTCCTTTTAATTACGTTATCTGTGATTAATTTTCTCCAATCCTTTTTTAAGTATTAAACTACAAGTTGAATTTATATTTAAAGGTTCTATTTTCTACTGTCCAGGTATGTAAGAAGAAAAAGAGAATTTATAAAATTAGTGGATGAGATTTTTGTTTACAGTTAATGTTCTGTTAACTTAGAACTTTAAGCATCAGCATGTGAAGAAAACTGAGCTTGAGTTCCTGCTGTGGAAATCCAAATGTATTTTCATTTACTCATGGCCAGCAAGGGAACTTGATCAAAGCCAAGCAGTTTAATTCAATGATAGAAATACCATTTATTAATTTACTAGTTTTTGTTCTTGAAAGTACAGGTGCTAAGCCTTTAGTGGCATGCTGATTATCTGAACCAACCTAAATGGAATTGTAAATACTGGATCTCACTCAGTGTAAAGTATGTGATTTGTTTTGCTGTAATGTTGAGTGTTATCTCTGTGAGGTATGTTAAATGCATGTAACAGCAGCTTTAAAGAGAAATACCAAGCAAATCTTTCACTCTGTTCTCTTGGCATAGTGCCTTCTGCTGCTAAGAAGTTCAGAATTAGATATGTTGCTCAGTTACAGTAACTTTCATCCCAGAGTCGTGGAACCTTTGTCTGTTGCCTACTTCTAAATGCCCTTTATCTCTCTTAATATCCTTATTTTAACAATCTGGGGTTTGTTTTAATATCCTAAGCCATGTCAGGCCATCTTATATAAGCAGGCAGGATATAAATAAATAGCATTTCAAAGCCCCCAGAGTATAATCTTTTATTATATATCCATAACCTATGAATAGTAATACTATATTTAAGTTTTTTTGCAAGAAAACCTCTATTACAGTAATTAAACAATTTTGTTTTCAGCTTTGCATTTATGAGATTAATGCACTCTATCATATAGGATGGAGCAGCAGCCTTAGTCTTATTATTGAGATGGTAATTGTCTTAGTCATCTAGTGCTGCTATAACAGAAATACCACAGGTGGATGGCTTTAACAAAGAGAAGCTTATTCTTTTACAGTCCAGTAGGCTACAAGTCCAAATTCAGGGCATCAGCTCCAGGAGTAGGCTTTTCTCTCTTTCGGCTCTGGAGGAAGGTCCTTATGATGCATCAGTCTTCCCTTGGTCTCAGAGCATCTCAGCACAGGAACCTCAGGTCCAAAGGACATGCTCTGCTCCCAGCACTGCTTTCTTGGTGGTATGAGGTCCTCCTGTGTCTCTGCTCACTTCTCTTATATCTCAAAGGAGATTGGCTTAAGACACTGTCTAGTCTTGTAGACTTCATCAGTATAACTGCCGCTAATCCATCTTACTACATCATAGTGATAGAGTTTACAACACATAAGTAAATCACATCAGATTACAAAATGGTACACAATCATACAGTACTGGGAATCATGACCCAGCCAAGTTGACAGATATTTTTGGGGCACACAATTCAATCCATGACAGTAATATAGTACTTCCTCTTTCTCACTAAAAAGTGAGGCATCTGTCTCTCAAGTATATGAACCCAGTGTGTTCCTGCTCCACTCACTTTTCTTTACTGCCTTCTCATCAAATAGGAGTAATTTATATTGGTAATTCCTTGATGGTTTTTTACTTTAACCAACATTATCATTTGAAGCTATTTGGTTTAGGAGGTCAGACCTCATGCTAAGCTTTGATTTTATTCCTTTAGAGTTAACTCTGTGGTTCTCCCCCCGAGGTAGTTTTCTGAATCCCTAAAAGTTAGTAGCTCTGACTTTAGAAAACCTATAGTACTGCTCGGAGTACAGAATCCTGCCTTGTATCATCTGTGTCTTTCAAGATTTGATACCTGCTCAAACACTGGTTCATTGGGGGCCCTTTCCTTCCTTCCTCCAAACTCTTAATCTGCCTTCTCTCCCACTTGAGCACAAACTGAGAGCCTTTCCGTGCTCCTAGGGGATTCTTTTTCAAACATAATTTACAAAAAAATCCAGTGTGTAAAAGGGAGCATTGCTGTTCTGTGATTGAATCAGGAACTGGGGGGAAGGGGAATGACAGAGCCCTGACTGCCTTGCTTCTGTAGTTTAACCCAACCTCATCTCCTGGAGTAAGGATCCCAGATAAACAGTTTATATCTTCCAGTACTTGAATACTACAATTAGTTCTAAAATTACAGAATTTCAAGAGCACAGATTTCCTCCTTCCATGGCTGTAATGGTGAAGATTGTGTGTCAGCTTGGTTGGGCCATGATTCTCAGTATTTAAATGTGATCACTCCCATGATGAGATCTGCTGTGAGTAGCCAGTCAGTTGAAAGCGAGTTTCCTTGGGGCCTGCATCCAAATATAAGCAGACGTACTGTCTTTTTGCTCACTCTGGATCTTGCGGTAGCCTCCTGTTTGTCTGACCTCCGGTTCTTGGGACTTGAGCTGTCAGCTTATCTGCCCATCTTGGGATTCGTCAATCTTTACAGCTTGTGTGTGAGAGCCCAGCTCTCCAATCTGCCGATCTTGGGTTCAGCACCTGCAGCTATGTGAATTGGGAGAAGACTCTATCCTGATCCACAGACTTGGGGCATGCCAGCCTCTACAATCATGTGAGCCGTTTCTGTGGTATAAATCTCTCTATATGTGTATTTACACATTTTACTGGTTTTGCTTCTCTGGAGAACCAAGCCTAAGACAGTGGCCTATGTTTAAACTCCTAGGAATGAAGGTTCTGCAAATTACATGATAAGAATATATCCTCTTTTTAATTTCTGTGATAACACATAGTGGGTTATACTCATGTACAACAGTATCTGACAGTGGTTTGTTTGTTTATAATTTAATCAGCAATGGAAATCTAGCCAATGTGGACATTTAATATATCTATTCCTTAATAATCTGTATATTGTGATGACTATATATCTGGTATAGTTTTCATTTTACCTAGGTGGTAGTTTTCAGACTTTTTTTTTTTTTTTCTTTTTTTCTTTTTTTCAAGCATCAGAACTCCCCTCCCACACACACTTTTTCCCTGACAAACTGTTAAGTCACCCTTCAGAACATAGCTAGGATAATGTTATGAATTGTGTCCCCCAAGAATATGTGTTGCAAATCCTAACCACTGTGCCTTTGGTGGTGCAGTGGTTAAGAGCCACAGCTGCTAACCAAACCAAAAGGTCAGCAGTTCAAATCCACCAGCTGCTCCTTGGAAACCCTGTGGGGCAGTTCTCCTGTATCCTGTAGGATCGCTATGAGTTCGAATCGACTCGATGGCAACGAGTGGTTTTTTTGGTTATGCCTGTGGTTATAATCCCATTTGGGAATGAGTTGTCTTTGTTAACATTAGTAAGACAGGATTAGCGTAGGGTGTGTCTTGAGTCATTCCTTCTGAGATAGAAAAGAGATTAAACAAGTAAGGCAGGGGACAGGGGAGATTGAGGCCAAGCCACATGAAGGTCTCCAAGGAACCAGGAAACAGAAACTAAAGAGACAGAGACCTTCCCCCAGAGTTGACACAGAGAGAAAACCTTCCCCTAGAGCCGGTGCCCTGAATTCGGACTTGTAGCATCCTGAACTGTGAGAAAATAAATGTTTGTTAAATCCATCCACTTGTGGTATTTCTGTTATAGCAGCACTAGATAACTAAGATGGGATTTGGTACTGCTCAAACAAATAGCTCCATTGTAGAAGTGGTTTGGGAATTGGGTAATGGGTGGAGGCTGGACGAGTTTTAAGGTGCCTAATAGTAAAATCCTAGATTGCCTTGAAGAGCCTGTTGGTAGAATTGGGGACGTCAAAGACCGTTCTGGTGAGGGCTCGGAAGGAAGTGAGAGCTATAAAGAAAGTCTCTGTCATCTTAGAGAATCCATACGGCACTAGCAACAAAATGTTGCTAGAAATGTGGACATTAAATGTGATTCTGGTGAGGCTTATAAAAGAAAATGACGAACCTGCAATTGGACAGTGGAGGAAGGGTGATGCTTTTTATGCAGTGGCAGAGAAC